CGCGAGAGGGATGTCTGCCTGCTGGCTGCAGCCTGATTCCCCAGGGGATCAGACCTAAGCCAGCAGGTGGACATCCCCTGAGAGGTCCCAGACTGCAAGAGGACTCAGGCTGGGCTGAGGGCTCCGCTCCCCGCACCCACCCCAGTACACAAATGTCATGCACCAGGCCTCTAGTATCTTATCATTTCAAACGTACATTTTCCGTTAAGTTATTGGGAAGTAGTCCCTAAAATAGGAGTATGTCTCAGTGTAGACATCTTGTTGAATGATATAAATTCAGATTTTTATAACAGAAATTCACTGAAGTACATCATTGGTTTGACCAGTGAATACAGCATTTCAGAACAAATTAGTCTTAGTCATGGAATAGCTGCTCATTTTTCAGTAATTAAACCATCCAGTCAAGGCAGAACAATGTCTAATAAAACAGATATAAGTTAACTTAATTAATTAGAAGGGGAAAACAATTTGCTAAAGGATTAATTTTTTTTTTCTATATGTGAAGGGACATAAAGGAGAGTCTGATAACTTGTTGAGCAGAGTCAAGAACTGGGAGCTGGATTGACCTATCTTTCTCCCCAGTTAGACTAACTAGAGTCACAGGGAGGCAGTGGAAGTGGTGAATGAGGTGAAGGGAATAATAATGATCTATGAAACATATCTTTAGACAAGATATTTACTGGTTTTTCCTTTATAGACAATACATTTCCTTATGAACTAGTCATTAGGTAGTTATTTGTAACAGCTGAAATGTTGACCTAAGATCTCATCTTTAATGATGTTTATGCCTCACATATATATATATATATATATATAAGGGACTGGGGAGCAGGATGGGGGCGAATTGAAGGGATTAAGAAGTACAAATTAATGGTTATGGCCTGGCCGGCGTAGCTCAATGGTTGAGCATTGACCTATGAACCACGTTGTTTGATTCCCAGTCAGGTCAGGACACATGCCCAGATTTCAGGCTCGATTCCCTGATGGGGGGTGTGCAGGAAGCAGCCAATCAATGATTCTCTCTCATCATTGATGTTCCTATCATCCTCTCCCTTCCTCTCTGAAATCAATAAAAAATATATATATTTTTTTAAAATGAACAGTTATGAAAGTGATGGGAATGTAAAGTACAGCACAGCAAATATAGTCAATAATATTGTAATAGCAAAGTATGGTGCCAGATAGGTACCGGAAATATCAGGGGGAGCACTTTTTAAACTATATGATTGTCTAATCGCTATGCTCTACACCTGAAAGTAATACAAAATAATAATGAATACAGCCCTAACTGGTTTGGCTCACTGGATAGAGCGTTGACTGTGGACTGAAGGGTCCCAGGTTTGATTCCAGTCTAGGGCATGTAACTTGGTTGTGGGCACATCCCCGGTGGTGGGTGTGCAGGAGGCAGCTGATCAATGTTTCGCTCTCATTGATGTTTCTGACTCTCTATCCCTCTCCCTTACTCTCTGTAAAAAATCAATGAAATATATTTAAAATAAAATAATGAATGCAAACTGTAATTTAAAAATAAAATTTAGCTCTGGCTGGTGTGGCTCAATGGTTGAGCATCATCCTGTGCACCAAAAGGTTCAATTCCCAGTCAAGGTATGTGCGAGAGGCAACCATTCAATGTTTCTCTCTCTCACTCCCCCAGACAGTGAAAATTAGGCTGAACTATGTTTACTAGAGTAAGTGATCTTTTTTTCACCTCCTTTATCTCGTATAGTTTGGAATTCAAACTTAGTTTACATTCTCTTTGCTTTAATTACATACTGCTGGTAGAAAAAAAAATGAAAAGTACTTTTGACATTCTTAGTTTCTTAAATGGCATATATTTCCAATTGGAAATACCTATCTAGTTTCCTGTCATCTCAAATTCTCCCACTGCCTTCCCGGAAGGCTTGGGCCCAGCTTCAGATGCTAGAATCAACCCTGACTGGGTGAAGAGTGAGTACAATTTAAATGGTTATAGTGGCTCAACATCAAGTCAGATCTCACACTGACTTTTTCTCCAGTTTCAGTAACTGGCCTTCAACCTACCACAATTCTGGTAACCAAATTCCCATCTTGATTATTTCCTCATACCTAATTGTTCATTCTAACAAGTCTTTCACTCCACACATTAAAAGCTTGTTCCTGTACCCCAGCCTCATTATCAGTTGGCAAATTAACCTACCTACAACTAATTGGGTACCTGTTTGGATCTATAATGTTGTTTGCTTCTAGATTTCTCACTGCCCTGCTCCTCCCCTGATAGGCTGTCTTATGCCAGTGATGCAAGCCATTTGTCTCAACTGCCAGCTGCTTTCTGACCAATGTGCCCCTCTATGTACCATGTTCTACCTGGCCAAACAACCTCCAAACACCCCTAGTTAAGTTTACCTTAGCCCACTGCCTGTCCTATCACAGTCATGAAATGTAACATAATGAATTAAAACTTACAAATATAAGACAGCCTGATTTTGACCCACGAAAAGCATGAAATTAGGGATATAAGATTTTGAAATAAACTACTCTGATCTCTACATATAAGTTGGAAAGTCTTAATGGAATGACAGATTGTGCTGCTTATTATGGCCAGCTAACAAAGATTTGCGTGACTTTGCCATTCATGGGTTAATAAATCTGCTGAATTGAATGCAAACAAATGAAAAGAGATCTGTGATGATTCTTGTAATGAATATAGGTATTTCAGAAAGGAGGAGTTTTAAAAGTTTAGGAATATCATTAGTCATAGAAGTGAGAATAATTCTTTATTCCAGTAAACTGAGTGATGAAGGTCACCCAACACTGACACAGGCTTTATATGCCAGCACAGAGGTTGGCAAACTTCTGATGAAGACCGACAGGCAGTAAATGTTTTAGACCAGTGGTTCTCAACCTTCTGGCCCTTTAAATACAGTTCCTCATGTTGTGACCCAACCGTAAAATTATTTTCATTGCTACTTTATAACTGTAATGTTGCTAGTGTTATGAATCATAATGTAAATATCTGATAGGCAGGAGCGTCTTAGGCAACCCCTGTGAAAGGGACGTTCGACCACCCAAGGGGTCGCGACCCACAGGTTGAGAACCACTGTTCTAGGAGCTCCTCAAGGTCAGAG